GCCGGGCACTCAGCTGGGCCGCCTCTCTGTGTTGCAGGTGACGGAGCGAGGCCACGAGGACGCGGCTCCTCCCCGGGACCGTGGGGGACATCCCCACCCTCCGTCCCAGGGATCCCCATGATCCCTGTGGATCCCTGTGGATCCCCATCATCCGTCCCAGTGGATCCCAGTGATCCCCGTGGATCCCCACCCTCCATCCCAGTGATCCCTGTGGATCCCCACCCTCCGTCCCAGGGATCCCCATGGATCCCAGTGATCCCCAGGGATCCCAGTGATCCCCACCCTCCATCCCAGTGATCCCCGTGGATCCCAGTGATCCCCACCATCCATCCCAGTCACTCCCAGTGGATCCCAGTGATCCCCACCATCCATCCCAGTCACTCCCAGTGGATCCCAGTGATCCCACTGGATCCCCACCCTCCATCCCAGTGGATCCCCACCCTCCGTCCCAGTCATTCCCAGTGGATCCCCACCATCCATCCCAGTCAATCTCATCAAACCCAGTGGATCCCAGTGGTCCCCATGGATCCCCACCGTCCATCCCAGTCACTCCCAGTGGATCCCCATGGATCCCCACCGTCCATCCCAGTCACTCCCAGTGACCCCAGTGGATCCCCACCAACCATCCCAGTCACTCCCAGTGGATCCCCGTGGATCCCCACCAACCATCCCAGTCACTCCCAGTGGATCCCTGTGGATCCCCACCATCCATCCCAGTCACTCCCAGTGGATCCCCGTGGATCCCCACCAACCATCCCGGTCACTCCCAGTGGATCCCCACCATCAATCCCAGTGGATATCAGTTATCCCAGTGGATCCCCACCATCCATCCCAGTCAATCTCATTGATCCCAGTGGATCCCAGTTATCCCAGTGGATCCCCACCATCCATCCCAGTCACTCCCAGTGGATCCCCATGGATCCCCACCATCCATCCCAGTCACTCCCAGTGGATCCCAATGGTCCCTGTGGATCCCCACCAACCATCCCAGTCACTCCCAGTGGATCCCCATGGATCCCCACCATCCATCCCAGTCACTTCCAGTGGATCCCAGTGGTCCCTGTGGATCCCCACCCTCCATCCCAGTGGATCCCAATGGTGCCTGTGGATCCCCACCACCCATCCCACTCACTCTCATCGATCCCAGTGATCCCAGTGGATCCCAGTGGATCCCCACCATCCATCCCAATCAATCCCAGCGGATCCCGGCTGCTGCTGGGGTGGGGCAAGGTCGGTTTTCGCTCTGCACGTGAAGCTTATTGAAAGGCGGGGAA